GGGAAGGGAAGGGAAGGGAAGGGAAGGGAAGGGAAGGGAAGGGAAGGTTTGGGAAGGCTCCTTGCAGAGCCCTGAGGCTCCAGCCCCGCTCAGACCCTGCCAGGGCTGCAGGCAGTGCCCAGCTGCTCCCTGGGGCTCCCAGGGCTGGACAGAGCAGCAGCTCTGCAGGGAAATGTGAGGAACACCTTGACACTCCTGGTTCAAGCACTACTCAAGCCCATCTTACCCATTTGTTCTGTTTATTTAACTTCAAAGAGGTGCACACTAAAGCATTAGGATTTACTGGTTTGGATTCCTCTCTGTACAAGTTCTTTCAAACAGCTTTGAATGCACAAGGCTTTACAGATAGAAGCGCTGAAACACAAGATAAAACAAATCTAAATTTCAAATCACTCCATGAAGAAAAAATTGTAGAAAATAAAAAACAAAACAAAACAAAAAAAAAAGGAAAACAAAACAAAAAATATTCCAACAAAAAACTGCAGCACTCCTTGGGAAAGGGACAGACTGCACGAGGAGGGACACAGAGGGTGGAAGGCAAGCAGTGCCCAAAGCTTCTCCGTGCTGGCAGCTCAGGGGATGGAGTTCAGGAGGTCCTGCAGGAAGCTGTCGGGGTCATTGATTTCTGACAAGAGTCCTTTGAACAGAAGAAGGCAAAAGAGAAGGATCAGCCCCTGTTGGTCCTGCCCAGGGATCTGTGCTGGGCCCTGTGTGAGGCACTGACAGCTGCAGGGTTATTTTAGGGCTGGACACGAGCAGGGCAGACCCTGCTGGGTGCACGAGCAGGAGGGACTGAAATGTGAATTGAATCAAGCACTGAATCCACGTGGAGCTGCTCTGGGGCTCCCCAGCTCTGCTCCCTGTGCTGGGCAGTGACAGACTGGCCTGGGGCAGGTTGTGAGAGAGGAAAGAGCAGCTCCAGCTTCCCTGCAGGTTTTCAGCATCTCCTGACTCCTGGAGGCACCAAAAGCCAGGGGGAGCAGCTCTGGCTGCACCCACCTGCTGCAGTCCCATCTGCTCAGCAGCCCCAGAACCCCCAAACCAGCCTCCAGCTGTGCTCCAGATGTGTCACAGGGCAGGGGGAGGTTCTCCTGCCTCAGGTGTGTGTCCCAGCAGTTTGGGATCCTGATCCTCCTCTCCCTTCCCCTCCCCAGGAGCTGCAGCAGTGTCAGGAATGCCGCTGGCTGCACTCACCAGCTGCACAAGGCAGCCTATAAAAGGTCAGGCAAACACTCACCAGCCACATCCAAAAACTCAGAAAACGTTTCCACTGGCATGAACTCCTCCTGGAAGGTTTTCAGGGCCTTGTCTGCAGCCTCGTGGATGGGCATGTCGTTGTGTCTGATGAACTCAGCCAGAGAGAAGGACCAGCCTCCCTCTGTGTTACTGGTAGGCACCTTCTGGCAGGGCACAAACACACCAAATCAGGCCAAAAGAATGAGTTAATTAAAAAAAAAAATTACTGCAAACCCTGGTGCCTTCTCTCATTGCTCCTGGATTTCCATCCCTGGCTCCTGCAAACAACCAAGAGAGGAGGAAATTCCCCGACTGCAACTTCATGATCCTTTTCTGCAGGATGAAACAAGGTCCCAGGCATTCTCTCACCCTCAGCACTGAGCCCTCTCTGCAAGCTGCAGGTTTCTGTCTGTCCCTGGCTCCCTTCTCACCCATTACCTTGGCACGGCCTGGAATGTCCTTCCTTCCATAAACAATGAACAGGAAAAGTAAATAAATACACAGAACAGGAGTGCTGCCAGCTGGAGGAGCCTCTCAGTTCTTCAGCTACTGAACTGCAAGGGCTGCAATGAGCACAGGCAGCTTCTTGTGGCCTTTCTGCTTTTACAAGGTGCAGAAGGAAAAGAAGGAAAAATCCTTCCCTGGCAGGGTGGGCAGCCCTGGCACAGCTGGGGCTGCCCCTGGATCCCTGGCAGTGCCCAAGGCCAGGCTGGGTGAGGCTCAGAGCACTATGGGACAGTGGGAGGTGTCCCTGCCATGGCAGGGGTGGCACTGAATGAGCTTTAAGGTCCCTTCCCACCCAAACCATGCTGGGATCCTGTGAAGTTTCGTTCCCAAGGACCTTGGAGAACAGAGTTTCAAATTTTGATTTCTATTCCAAGCTCATGGCATGGCTCAGGTAGGAAGGCTGAAGTGGGGCTGAGCTGGAGGTGCTGCAGAGGAGCTGCAGGCTCTCCTTACCTTGAACATGTTGTAGATGAGATCCACGAGGGCCCAGAAGAGCAGCCCCGAGCGGTACGTGGCGTATTCCTTCACTGCCTTGTCTGTCAGCCTGGGGAGGGAAAGCAGGCCAGTTATCACTCAGATAATCATTCTGTCATGGTGGGGAACCCAGGGCACCCCTCTGGCTGCCCTGGAGGCTCCAAACCCTGGCAGGGGCTCAGAGACCTTGGCACAGAGTCACAAACACCCGTGCCTTTGGTTTTAGCCCATGGAAACAATCACCAACTTTGTGTGAGGAGTTACAAGCCACAAGACTCTGAGTAGAATGATAGTGAGTTTATCAAAGGGTGAAAAAATAGAATTTTGTGGGATTTAGAATGGGGGTTCAGGAGGCAAGATGGAGGAATCTGGGCATGTCCTGTCTTTCTCCTTCTCCTTCTTGTCCTCCATCTTCTGCTGGGATGGTGACACTGTTTGATTTGTTCAGAATAGAGACAGACTGTCTAACATAGGTGATAGGTATTGGAAAATTATTGTAAATTAAGTACATGTAGTTCTTAGTATAAAAAGCCAACACCACCCCAAGGGTGTCACTGTGCCACAAACTGACCTGCTGGACAGATCTCAGCAGGTCAGAGAAAGAATGGAACAGATAAGAGAAAATAAACAACCTTGAAAAGCAGAGCTGAGGAACCTCGACTTTTTCTTTGAGCATGGGGCTCAAAGAAATTAAATGGAGGATTTTCCATTTAATATATCCTTGGTTATTCTCCTGCCAGGAAAGGACTTCTGGAAATCCAGCACTTGGGTTTGGAGCAGCAGGAATGCCCTAAAAGGTGCAGAGCTGTGCTGGGACAGCAGCTCCCAAAGTCTGCAGGATTAATCACAAACAGGTTCTGGCAAGGAGGAGCCTCCTGCCAGCAGCTCTCATGGCTTTGGAATTTCTGTGCCTGTGCTGCTCAGGTACATCTGCCCCATCATGTGCTGCTTCCTGCTCAACACTCCAGAGCTTTGGAAAAACAAAAATCCATTTTTTGTGCACCCAGGAGTCACAACACAAACAGGAGCTCCCACTGCAACTGCCCCAGCCTGGGCTCTTCTGGGGGAAAAAATGAACATTGTGCTGCTCTTATTAAAAGGCTCAGTTTGTGTGTGTGTGCCTTAAAACAGACAGCTGAGTAGGTGGCAGCCTGCTCAGGCAGCTCAGCTTAATTATTTAAAGGAAAACCAATTAGTAAAGGTGACTAAATTTCCACGGGATGAAGAGAATTCCGAGCGAGGCTAATTCTGGCCTCCCAAATCCTGCAAGCCAGACTTCTCCTTTCATGTCAATGGGTTTGATCTAATTGCAGTCTGCTCCTTTAATTGAAAACTAAAAGGCCCTTGTGGGTTAGGGCTGGGAGTTACCTTGAGGAGCAGCTGCTCCATGCAGGAGCTGCTGGGTTCACTCCTGCAGCTGGACAGGACAAAGCCAAAGCCACACTCTGGGCAAGCCTGCCTTCCCTCTGGGGTGTGTGAGAGAGGCCACAGTGGGGAGCAAAGGGAAAACAACCAAAATGGCCTTTTCCTCCCCAATTCCAGATGAAAGCTACACTGAAAACCAGCATTTTTTAGCCAGAATTTGTGGTTCAGTAACAATAAATGCATGAATCACTTCTTTGGGATCTGTAAATTGTATTTACAAAAACCCAGAACTGGGATCCATTCTGGGAATTTCATCTTTGGGTTTAAATAGGAAGTATTTCCAAAACAAGGGAGGTGCTGAACATCTCCCCCTGGTTCCTGTGGTTCCACCCTCCTGGCAGAGCCAGAATCCCTTTTTGGCTCAATTCTCCCCAAATCTGTGACCCTGGCTGGCCCAGCTGAGGAGCTGCATGGGCACCTCCCCAGGGGTGGGATTTGCTGCCTTGGGATGAGGGAATGAGAGCCCTCCTGCCCTTCCCAGCATTTACAGGAGGGTTCAGATCAGCAGATCCTCAGCTTTTTGGAGAAGCACTGGGGTTCCTCCAGTGGTTCCTGTCCCTTTTAAAGATGCTCTGGGGTTCCTGCAGTGGTTCCTGTCCCTTTTTAAGATGCTCTGGATGTTCCTGCAGTAGTTCCTGTCCCTTTTTAAGATGCTCTGGAGTCCCTGAAGTGACTCCTGTTCCTTTCTGAGGTATTCTTGGGGGTTCCTGTCCCTTTTTAAGATGCACTGGTGTTCCTGCAGTGGTTCCTGTCCCTTTTTGGAGAAGCACTGGGGTTCCTGCAGTGGTTCCTGTCCCTTTTTAAGATGCTCTGGGGTTCCTGCAGTGGTTGCTGTCCCTTTTTAAGATGCTCTGGGGTCCCTGCAGTGACTCCTGTTCCTTTCTGAGATATTCTTGGGGGTTCCTGTCCCTTTTTAAGATGCTCTGGGGTTCCTGCAGTGGTTCCTGTCCCTTTTTAAGATGCTCTGGGGTTCCTGCAGTTGTTCCTGTCCCTTTTTAAGATGCACAGGTAGCAGTGAGTCCTTGGGTGTCCCAGTGCTCTGGGAATGGAGCTGCTCCCAGCCAACACCCTGAACATGGAATGCTAATTTTAATGCTTTGCATGCAGACATTACCCTGGTGTCAGAGCAGTGGCTTCCCCTCTGCCTCAGCCTACAAATTCAAGATATTGGCACTTATCTGCAGAGCCTTTCACCATCCATCACCCTCTTCCTGATTTTCCACAAGAATAAATAAGCACAGAGCTTGGAAATCAGAACTGCCATATTGCTGCTTCTGAGAGGCTTTATCAGAGGGAGGCTTTGTGCTCCCTTAGTCTGCAGAGATTAAAGAAAGCCCTTGAATAAACCTTGACATAATTCCTGAGCACTGTTTCTGAGTGCGCTCCCCTGAAATTCCACACATTGGATGCTTTAGCTGGAAGTTCCAGGCTCTGTCTGTTCCAGTGTGCTTTTATTGCAGCACCTGTGCTTGGGGAAGGAACAGAACATCCAGGGAGGTTTAAAAAGCAGCAAACCCACCCTGGCCTTAGCTCTGCTGCACCCCCCGAGGCTGCAGGCCATGCCCTGGCTCTGTCAGACCCCCAGGAAATGGGAAACAGCAGCCAGGGGAGGCTGAAAGCAGCACAGGGATCAATGGAGGAGCCCTTCCAGGGCTCTCTGCCTTTTCCACGAGCACTGGTTCATGCTGGGTTTGTGCAACTACAATGGAACGACTTTATCAAACACCTAATTAATGTCATCAGCATAGAAATGCCCTTTAAGGCGACTTAGAATAATAATGAATTGATTCCTAATTATGACAGCTATTTCAAATCATCCTTTCAGAAACTGGAATTCCCTTTCCCTCTCTGGCAATATTGTGCCTTTGTCAGGCAGGCACAGCCACTTATTCTTGTGCTTCAAGTGCCTGACAGCTGCTATTGATTTTTTTCTTTTTAAAAAGCAATGCCATTTGACTTCTATTTCTATTTTTCTATTTGAGGGAGGCTGGAGCACTGATCAAAAGGGCCCAGAAGGAGCTTCCTTAGGGAGGCAAACAGGGATGAGGCACAGCTCAGACAGCTCATGGCTGAGTGCTGAGCTGGGGGAGGAAGAGGGAAAAGCTTCATTTCCATGGATCAGCTCATTGATCCACTCCAGAAGGAAATCTCCTGCTCAGAGCAGCCCTGGGGGG